AGTACCACAGAGTTTTGATCACTATGCTCCAATTTTGAAACCAGACTCAAACTTCTGGCTTTTTCAAAGCAAATTTTACTGTTTAGGGTCTTGGTATTACCCTGAATTTTAGAGTGAGGTGGTCAATTCATGCAAAAGGGTCCGCTGAGATTTTGTTGGGGATTTTCTTGAGTATCTAGATAATTTGAGGAACAATGCTAGAGCTTATGACCTATGAACGATGTGAGTTTATCTTTTTGTGGATGCCTTTAAACTCTTCTAGAATGATTTTGTAGCTTTCATTGTGAAAGTCGGTTACATTTTTGTTAGCTTTAACTCTAGCTTTATTTTGGTACAAATATAAATGATATTTAATTTTTTTCAATTTCTTCCAGGCATGGTGTCACACGCCTTTAATCCCAGCACTCGGGAGGCAGAGGCAGGCGGATCTCTGTGAGTTCGGGGTCAGCTCCAGGGCAGCCAGGGCTACACAGAGAGAGCCTGTTTCAAAGCAAAAACAAAAACGAAAAAAACAAACAAACCCATGCATTCTCTAAACATGCCATTTGCAAATTAGGGCAGTCTTGTCTCTTCCTTTCTGATACAACCTTCTGTTTCTCTCCTGCCTGTTTGAACTGGCAAGAACATTTGGGGCAACACTGGAAGGAATTGTTGACAAACTAGCCTTAGGTCTCTTATGCGATCCTGCTATACCACACCGGGAAGATGCCCAAAGGATTCTAAGTCCTACCACAGAGATGTTTGCACATCCATGTTTATTGCTGCTTTTTTTTTAAATAACTAAACTAGTTTTGATGCTCATCAACAGATAATACCAGGACTGGGAGGGCAGGGGCAGGCAGATCTCTACAAGTCTGAGACCAGCCTGGTCTACATAGTGAGTTCCAGAATAACCAGGGGCACCTAGAGAGACCTTGTCTCAAAACGAACAAGAAAAAAAGAGAGAGAGAAAGAAAAAACAAAGATAAGACATAATTTCATCCAAGTCTAGAAATTTCGCCCTTTTGGAGGTCAGTTGATATCAGATACGTCTAAATAACCTAGCACTCTTTTGCATAAGATTTTAATCAATATTTACTTATTATGAGAAGTTGCTAGATCCTCCTCCTAGAGATTCTGATTCATTTTGTCTGAAGTAAGGCCTGCATAAAGGTATTTTTACAGCTTCCCCGAGATTTGACAGGCTGAGAGGCTCTGGAGCGAATGACCTTGTAAAAACGTTCTTCAGGGAGGACACCGCTGGGGTGTGGGATTATTAGGTGGGCTTGTGCTGCCCTCTAGTGGCTCCGTGGAGGTTCTTTCGTTTCAAGGCGTGGGTACTGGATTGTGTGCAATGCATTAGCAAAGATGCTCGTGTGTGAAAGATGGCCGTGGATCTCTGTCCCCAGAGCCTTAGAACATCTCGGGTGTCACCACTGTTTCAGATCCAAGGCTTTCTTGGAGAGACAACACTGACACCCAGGGTGTATCTCTCCAGATTTTCTTTACAAAGCCATGTGACCCACAGCACCTATGAATTTACAGCCGTGAACAGCTTCCTGGAGAGATCTGATGACCATAGCACTGCAGCAAGACAATGGGAGCAGGATCTGCCTTAAGCTTGTTTCCAAGAAACAAATGAGTAAGGGTCCCTTACTGCGCTGTGGACACCCAGAGTCCACAGGGGCGTGTCATAGGCGTCACCGGCCTTGTTTCCAGTTCAGATATGAGATGATGTGAGAGCCACACGCTCCTAACTAAAAACCGCCGAGTGTGTCCTCCGCTCTTTGGTGCCTTTGTTCAGGAACTCTGGTCCCACGGTGGTGCGCTTTGTGCAGGCACCTTCTGCCAACAAACCCCAAACCAGCAAAGAAACCTATGCTGGCGGGTACTCACATGCATTTTCCTAGCACAGGGTTCCACCTACCTCAGCGCCCATCATGGGTGTCGATGGAGAGGAGGGCACAAGAGGAAGTCTTAGTGGCGTGGTGAGGTCACAGTGGCTGTGGGTCACCTGTGTAGTAAATGGGGCACTAGCAGGAGCTGGTCCAAGGTTTACAGAATTTGTTGATTTTTGCCTGGGTAAGAGAAGTCAGGAAGTCAAGCCCAAGATCTGCCATTGGAGCCTAGAGGGCAGCAGACGCCCGCTGGAAGTTAGAGCCTGTCCACTGAACCGACTAAAACCCAGCTGGGATGCGCTGGCAGTGTGCCTCTGCAGTCCTAACACTTAAGGGCTTGGGGTGAGAGGATCTTTAGAACCCAGGAGCTCAAGGATTAAAAAAAAAAGAGTTATACAGATTGACTATCTGAAAGGTTTGAGATTTACAGACATGTTTGCACACACAAAAGCCCACCACGGCATCACTGATGTAGACCCAACGTTGCTTAATGACTATGACCCATCATGTGAGATTAGACATGGAATTTTCCATGTGTGGAATCATGCTAGGATTTTCAGAAAGTCAGATTTGGGGATCTTTTGAGTTTCAGAATAGGGATTCTCATCAGTTAAGGAAATCTGCTACTTTTAGGTGCGTGGACCTGCCGCTGAGGGGTTGACATGCTGATTGTAAGACTTGAGTCACTGGAACAAAAACATCTGACAGACAGGAGGCTGAGATTTATCTTGGCTTATTTACAGTTTCAGTTTTCATAGAGGGGAAGCATGGCGGAGCGGCGCAGCCTGTGGCAGTGGGAACATGAAGCGGTGGTTGTTCCCATGGTGGTGGGCCAGGAAGTAGAGAAAGGGGAACAGACCAAGATCTCTAACCTGGAAAGGCCTGCCCTGGTGAGCTGCCTCTGCCAGCTAGACCCCTCTTGAGGTTTCCAGAGCCTCCCAGAGTCAAAATAGGAGCCTGTGGGGTTATTCCAGATTCAAACCTTCACGCTGCTTTTCACTTGGCTTTTGCTAATCTGCCGTTTTGTACTCTTTGCTTGCAGAAACTTCTCATTCCTATCTCATCTTGGCACTTGCAAATTCATAAAAGATGTTAAAATTGCTCAAATTCATCTCATATTCACGTGGAAACCTTCCCTAAATCATCTTTAATCTAAAAATTGATTTTGTGTTGTAGATAAGAGACACATAAGGAAAACACTCACTGATCCATTTATCCAATAATTTCCAGAATATTCTTCCTTACAACTAGTTTAAAAAGTCCTATAACCACAATTCTAAAAATTATGCTATGATATATTTAGCATAAAACAAACTCATCATTTTAGTAACTTTTCTTGGCATTTATTTATTATATTCTTTTGGTGCTGGGGCTCAAGCCAAAGCTTATTACCTGCTGGGCAAAGGGTTTCTCCCTGAGCTCTGTGTCCATCCCTTAATCATTTCTAGGTGGATAGTTCAAAAGCTGGGGTTAAAGGCGTGCGCCATCACCACCTGGCAAGATCGCTCTTGATCAGAACAAGAATTTCTCAAGGAGATTGTTGGAGACATACTGTCCTGTCCCTAGGGGCCATGAAGCTGACATTAACGTGTGAGTCCGTGAACACAGGAAGGGTAGGGGTTGGGGTCAAATGGGGTAAATCTTGCTATGCCTGAGGCTATTCACATGTTCATCAACACCATTTCAGTCAAATAGCGTAACTACGATGGTTTCAAACAAAGATTTACTAGTTGGTAGCCCTTGACAAAAGTCATGCCACTAACCTATCTAAAGGAATAGTCTAGGTGCCACAAGATCTGTGGAGACAATTGTTAAGAATGAGCCTGGACTGGAGCCTTCAAAGCGAGTCTTGTCATACGCTCCCGTGGAAGGGGCTGTTCCCACCAGCATCCTACCCTTTTCCAGGTAGGTTGCACAGCCTAGCCTAGCCTTTCTCAGAAATATTCAGAAGTGCAGCAGCCAGATAGGTTTGGTTTTTTGGTTTCCCCCCTTGACCTGTTTTACATGATCCTCTTCCTAAACCTTTCAATACTGGCTATCAGTCATTACCTGTGACATTAAATTATGCTTTTAAAATTTAGCACTATAATTCCTGCCCAAGCCTGTTGTGTGAGTTTTAGTTGTCTCCCCAGTACATGGAATTCCTGGTATTGCTCTGACTTAGCCTCTGTCTTGCTTAGTGGACGCATTGTGCGTAAAGACTCAGTTATCTGGAGACAATTGCCAGACCACGGAATTAACACAGAATGGAGCTGTCATAGCATAGAGTAGGGAGGGAAGCAGGAAGGGGTATATGCCACCTGCGAATGTGACATCTTCCTCCCAAACTACCCCCCCCCCCACATCATTGTTTCTCTGTGTAGCTTTGAAGCCTGTCCTGGAACTAGCTCTTTAAATTAGGCTGGTCTCAAACTCACAGAGATCGGCCTGCCTCTGCCTCCCGAGTGCTGGGATTAAAGGCATGCGCCACCACCACCCAGCGACTGCGACATCTTTTGTCACAGGCTCTGTGGCCTATACAGACAACCGACACCCTCATCTGAATGTTGAACCACCTCATAATTTTGCAGTGATGAGGCGAGCGGGCCTGCTTTTCATCCCGCTCGGCTCCTGCATGGCTAGTTTTACACCCGAAATAACAACACACAAATTGTATTCATTTAAACACTGCCTGGCCCGTTAGTTCTAGCCTCTTACTGGCTAACTCTCACATCTTGATTAACCCATTTCTAATAATTTGTGGTGGCTTACCGGGAAAGATTCAGCATGTCTGACCTGGCAGCAGGCTCCATGGCATCTGCCTGACTCTACTTCTTTCTCCCAGCATCCTCTTCTGTCTACTCCACCTATCTAAGCTGCTATCCTATCAAAAGCCAAGAGAGTTTATTTATTAACCAATGAAAGTAACACATAGACAGATGGCCCACCTACTCCAAAATTTTATCCAAGATAGACAAATGTTTTAATTCTCTGCTTGCTTGGTGGAGCAGGAGGGCTTTGTGAGGTAGTTTGATGGCCTGGGTATGTCTTCTGTGAGGCAGAGAGCCAAACTCTAGAATTCGGAGGCTTTGCATTCTAACACCATGGAATTCTGGGGGAGGGGATGATTAGGGAAGTCGAGTGATGTTGGACCCTAATTTTTTTCTGTGGGATGTGGGATACCCGCTATATAAGTATGGATCTATCTTCATTATTGCATTAATTATTTGGCATGTGAAAAGGAGCTACCAGGGATTAAGGTTGGGACCTGCCAAGAGCTGTTACAAGGTAGGGAAATACTAACCAGGCCTGAATATGTTGTTTATAAGGAGAAGTTTACCCCCTCACCGTCTGTTGGTTATCTTACCCCTTGATCTTTATTTTTTAATGAGGATTTCTTCACTGGAGCCCAGATCAGCTCTGGTTGGTGGACATTTAGGATCTTGGATAACGGAAGCCCTTTGGGTACTAGCGTTGCCTGTCATTTAGCTTGTCCCGTCTTTCTGCTTGACCCTTGAATCCTCCACAGAGCTTGTCTATGAAATGGGATGGAAGATGTAGAGTATGGAAGAGTCTCGAATTGGGGCAGAAATGGGAGAAACAGGGGTGATGAGATGGAAGTGGGGGAGCACAAGGCTGGAAGACAGAAAAAGATTAGGGATTATTCCTGGATTTTGTTTCACTTTAGACATGAAAAAAAGTTGGTGTTTCTACTTCATATTCTAATATTTTTGTCTTTCAAGTGTTATCGAAGAATCAAGCACGGGACTAGAGATAGAACACCAAAAGGTAAACCCCAGTTTCATTGACTCCCTACCTCTGTGGGTGAGGTTGGCACAGATTCTGGCCCCCTGCGCTGACTGACACCAGAAGTCAGGTGTTTCCAACCCTCGGAGACTGTGCTATAAGCCAGTGACAACCAAAAAAGACGTCTGTGGTGGGAAAGAGACCAGACATGCTCCATCTTCTGTCTGACCTTCCTGAGATAATGTACAAGGATGGGAAGCCAATATCCTTAATTCTGTCATTTGCAAGTTTTTAAAGCCCCGTGGAAGCCACGTTACTTCCATCTTTGTCCTCCACAAAATGGGCACTAACTGCGTGGTTGTGAAGATGAAATGGAATTGGGTATAGGACAGTACCACAGTCAGCGGTACACAGAGATCAAATGAAACTGGGTATAGGACAGTACCACAATTAGCGGTACACAGAGCATTTACTCTTTGGGTTGTGGGTCACCTGCCCTTCAAAAGCCTTCAGCTTCTTTTTGTTGTTGTTGTTTCTCAAGACTTGGTGTAGCCCTGGCTGTCCTGGAACTCACTCTGTAGATCAGGCTGACTTGGAACTCACAGATCTGCCTGCCTCTGCCTCCCGAGTGCTGGGGTTAAAGGCGTGCGCCACCACCCAGTGGCCTTCAGCCTATACATTGCCCCCTCAACCTTCCAATCTGCCTAACCCTCTCTGTCCTCCTCCTTCAGCTAAGAGAACGTCCAAGGAAGAAACGGAGAAACTGCAGAAGCTGCTCACTATCATGAAAAGGTGAACTCTTCTTTCTGTGGTCTTCCAAGTCCCAGCCTGGCTCTGATGGTTGCTTAGGCTGGCCTGGGCAAAAGATGGGAATGGGGGGCTGTTGCCTAGAGAGATACACAATGGAGTGTCTCAGTCCAAGCTGAGAAGCTTGCCAGGGCCGAGAGGGTTTGTATGTCTCTCAAGAAGGAGAAGTCACCTATTTTACTCTAGGTTCTGAGTAGTTCTGCATTTCAGGGTTGACTAGTGCTGGTGTTGCTCCTGTCGTGAGAATACTTTTTTTGTTGTTGTTGTTTGTTTTTGTTTTTGTTTTTCGAGACAGGGTTTCTCTGTAGCTTTGGTGCCTGTCCCAGATCTAGCTCTTGTAGACCAGGCTGGCCTCGAACTCCCAGAGATCCGCCTGCCTCTGCCTCCCGAGTGCTGGGATTAAAGGCGTGCGCCACCACCGCCCGGCTCGTGAGAATAGTTTTGTCAAGAGAATAGGTTTGGCATAAAGAAGCCATTACTGTCCCATCTCTGGCTGAATTCTGCTGACATACACATGCGTCTCCTCATAAGGCCGGTATCTGGATACCCTCAGTCAGCCATCTTACACTCCCCCTTGGACTTCTATAGAATGGGATTGATTCCTAAGAGACGCTGGGGATAGGGACACCCACAGTTCTTAGAGTGAGGGCCTTGTTTCTCGGTTGAATATACTCTTTACCAGGCACCAAGTTTCTCAGATTCCGCCCCCCCCCAAAAAAACTGATTTGGCCCTCACATGGTGGTGTCCTTGGTGCCGCCCATCAGCTAATCCCTCTTATCTACCTGGTTCTTTTCATCTAGTTAGTTCAGCTTCTCGGTAAGGTTGGCAGAAACCTGACCCAGGTTTCCAGTCCTCTCTGAGACAGGTTGTCTGAGAGCTTTCCCCAGACTCTCAGCTCAGCCACAGACCTCACCACCTGCAGTATTCCTAGGAAGAGGAGCAGAGAGGTAGACTCCTGGAGGTATAGGCCCAGGACTTACAGGGTGCAGGGGGGAAAGCGTCTTTCCCCACTCCTGAGGAGGCAGGCGCCATGCTGTCTTTAATAGTTGCCATTTTCCTTCCTAGCCAGGGCTGGCTTCCTCAGGAAGGAAGTGTCCGGCGGCTCCTGTGCTCAGACCCTTCCTGCGCCATCTGCAATGCGATGGCTCTGGAAATTCAGCAGTTGCTGGGGTATGAGAACAAAGAGACCTGTCTGACTACGCTGAGACAATCACAGACCTTTTCTAGCCTGGAGGCATTGGCTTCATCGAAAGTGTTGTTTGACAAGAGTTCCCAAGACTCCAGAGACATTTCACTGGCTTCCAGCCTCACACCATCACCGGTAACAGATCAAAAATCTTCAACTCAGTCAGCTGCCCCATCAACCGGTGATGCCAGCTTCCGATATTACCGCGGTGATCATGGGCAAAAGCAGGAAGCCCAGGGTGCAGGCTCTCTGTCTTCCTCAAGTGTGGAAGAACCCGGGGCTCCCGCAAACCAGCAGAAGAAGAAAATCACTAAGCTTGTCTTGAAGAATGAAGGTCAGCAGCCCTTGAGTATTAGATTCCTTCTTTTTCCGGGTACCCATTGCTTCCTGAACCTGAAACAATACCCTATGACCCCATATTCATGTCACCTGCTGTTCCTATGTCCCAAAGGCCCCAAGGTGCCTGTGAGAATAGGAAGACAAAAATGCATACATTCTCACATTGAGCTTTCCCTCCTTCTGTGGAGGAGTTCCTGGGGACACAGCGCTTCACTACTTCCCATATTATCAAAGCCCAGAAACCCGACAATGGACAACCATTGGGGGATGGGTTACCATCCCTCCACTCTAGCGGCCTCAGAAGGCCACTACAGAGTAGTTTTCACCTCTCTCCCATTGCCTCGGCTCTACTCTCTCCTTCTTTTAGCTGTGTTTAAGTGGTCTTTTAAAAACATTTTTTATTGTTTTTATTGAGCTATATATTTTTCTCTGCTCCCCTCCCTTCCTCCCCCTCCCCTTCTACCCTCTCCCATGATCCCCATGCTCCCCATTTACTCAGAAGATCTTGTCTTTTTCTACTTCCCATGTAGATTAGATCCACGTATGTCTCTCTTGCGGTCCTCTTTGTTATCTAGGTTCTCTGGGATTGTGAATTGTAGGCTGATTTTTCTTTGCTTTATGTCTAAAAGCCACTTATGGGTGAGTAAATGTGATATTTGTCTTTCTGGGTCTGGGTTACCTCACTCAATATAATGTTTTCTAGATCTATCCATTTACCTGCAAATTTCAAAATGTCATTTTTTTTCTGCTGTGTAGTACTCCATTGTGTAAATGTACCACATTTTCGTTATCTATTATTAGGTGGAGAGGCATCTAAGTTGTTTCCAGGTTCTGGATATGACAATCAATGTTGCTTTGAACATAGTTGAGCACATGTCCTTGTGGTACGATTGAACATCCTTTGGATATATACCCAAAAGTGGTATTGCTGGGTCTTGAGGAGGTTGTTTCCTAATTTTCTGAGAAATTGCCATACTGACATCAAAAGCGGATGTACCAGCTTGTACTCCCACCAGCAATGCAGGAATGTTCCCTTTACCCAACATCCTTTCCAGCACAAGTTGTCATCAGTGTTTTTGATCTTGGCTATTCTTACAGGTGTAAGATAGAATCTCAGAGTTGTTTTGATTTGAATTTTTCTGATGTTTAAGGATGTTGAACAGTTCCTTAAGTGTCTTTCAGCCATTTTAGATTCCTTTATTAAGAGTTCTCTGTTTAGGTCTGTACCCCATTTTTTTTATTGGATTATTTGTTCTTTTGATGACATATTTCTTGAATTCTTTGTATATTTTGGAGATCAACCCTCTGTCCGATGTGGGGTTGGTGAAGATCTTTTACCATTCTGTAGGCTGCCGTTTTGTCTTGTTGACCATGTCCTTTGCTTTACAGAAGCTTTTCAGTATCAGGAGGTCCTGTTTATTAATTATTTCTTTCAGTGTCTGTGCTGCTGGGGTTCTATTTAGGAAATGGCCTCCTGTGCCAATGTGTTCAAGTGTACTTCCCACTTTCTCTTCTATAAGGTTCAGTGTGGCTGGCTTTATGTTGAGGTCTTTGATTCATCTGGACTTGAGTTTTGTGCATGGTGATAGATATGGGTCTATTTTTATTCTTCTACATGTTGATATCCAGTTATGCCAACATCATTTGTCGAATATGCTTTCTTTTTTGAAATTTATATTTTTTGCTTCTTTGTCAAAAATTAGGTATCCGTAGGTGTGTGGACTGATATCTGGGTCTTGGATTAGGTTCCATTGGTCCTCCTGTCTGTGTTTAATGCCATTACCAGGCTGTTTTCAATACTGTAGCTCTGTAGTAGAATTGAAAGTCAGGGATTGTGATGCCTCCAGAAGTCCTTTTATTGTACAGGATTGTTTTGGCTATCCTAGGTTTTTTGCTTTTCCATATGAAGTTGAGTACCATTCTTTTGAGGTCTATGAAGAATTTTACTGGGATTTTGATAGGCATTGCATTGAATCTGTAGATTGCTTTTGGTAAAATTGCCATTTTCACTATGTTAATTCTACCTACCCGAGAGCATGGGATATCTTTCCACTTTCTGGTGTCTTCTTCAATTTCTTCCTTCAAAGATCTAAAGTTCTTGTCATATTTAAGTGGCCTTGAAGGAGTGTGTATTTGGGGTGGTGCGGTCACATTGAAACTCACTGTGCCATCACTAGGTCTCTTTCTGCAGTTCATCTTCTGCACAGTGGATTTTGAGTTTGCATTTAGGGATCTTTCCACAACAGGAGAGTTAGGGCCATTCTTATTCAATTACTCCTTTATGTCTGTATTGCCTAAGATTTCCTACACTTCAGATATTACCAGCTTCTTCCCCACTTTTCCAAACTTGGGCATTTCCACTGACAAACCCAGATTAATGTCCCAATTCTGGGCCAAGGGTGATGTCTTGATGTGGCACCTGTGAACTTGGCAGCGGTAGCCCCAGTGGGACTTGCCTCTCATCCAGAGAGCTCTGTAGATACAGAGGACCATGTAACGTATAAACCCTGAGATGTGTTAGAGCCTGTCTCATCAGATCCAGGCATCTGCCTGATAAAAGGCCATTTCCGACTTCAAGAGGGTAGGGAGCAGCCTTGTCCTGGAGTGTGCCTGCTGGAGTTCTACTTCCAGCAGCGGTTGAAACAGCGGGTTGATTTTATTATCGCTGGAACCGGTCCCTAAAGATTCAGCAGTCTATCCAGCTGCTTCTAGCCCCTGAGGAGCGGCAGCTCCTGCCCTAAGCAGCACAGCCCCAATTTTTGGTATGTTTTCCTCTGCCAGAACCCTTGAGAATGATGGCGTGTACTGATCTACTGCAGCAACAGGGCCAGTCCACAGTTGATTGGTTAGACCAAAACATGTGGCAGACCCCACAGAGGGCACAAAAGAGCACCATCCCCGCGTGCCTAACTTCGGAGACTGAAAGTCACTGTCTACAGTAGCCTCAGGGGGCTGGAGAAATGGCTCAATGGTTAAGACCATTGCCTGCTCTTCCAAAGGTCCTGAGTTCAATTCCCAGCAACCACATGGTGGCTCACAACCATCTGTAATGAGGTCTGGTGCCCTCTTCTGGCCTGCAGACATACACGCAAAACAATATTGTATACAAAATAAATAAATAAATAAATAAATAAATAAATACAGTACCCTCAGGAGCTCTGACAGCAACTTGGTTCTGTTCTTCCCTGGAAAACAAGTCTGAGCCACATTGATAGTAATCAGATCAGACTGTTTAGCACCGACAGGCCTTGACCAGCAGCGACAGTCTCTCCAGATGTCGTTACTGCTGCCCCTAAGCTGCCCAAGCCTTGTCTCACACAGCCATTTAGGAACTGGAAACAAATTTGCTTTCCTGCCAGGGCTGCCTGCTATTTTTTGGTTCTCTCTGAGCTATTATTATCCTGGCAGTTTTAGCTAATACACAATCACAGAGATGAGTCCTGAGCCCATTAGAATCTCTGATTCAGTCTTAACCTTAATAGTGGCATACTAAATCCTGGCCACATGTTCAAAGCACCAGTATGCCATATGCAGAGATGTATTCCAGGCTGAAGTACAACTGAGGCCGTGTTCCTGCCGTTCCTTAATCACTCAAAGTACTTATCATTCTTAAACTTAATTTCTACCTCAAAAATTCCTAGCGATATGTTTGGAAAAGTCCCATTCAGATAGGAGGACAGGGGACACTTTTTGGCCAAAGAATATCTCCACACTGGAGACCTTTGGGGATCTCAGCCAGTAAGTAAACAAAAGCACGACTCCAAGAGTCCTATCTCCCAGGATCCCCACATCCCTTAGATCTAGAGCGGGTCTGCTTGAAAGAATTTCCAGCTGAACTCTGAGCAGAGAGTCCTAAGGTTCTGCCCATTGTGCCTCTGACATCTCACAGTCATGTGGGATACCATAGACACTCAGGTTCTTTGTGTGTAGCTGGGGACCAATATCAATAGTCCAACCAGAAGATTCCCTGAACCCCTTAGACCAGAGTGAAGCCTAGTTCTTACCTAAGCATGGAAAACAGCGGACCTAGTGGAATCCAAGTAGACACTTTGCTGAGGTTCATGGGCCAACAAAAGATTTCTAAGCAGAACCCCAGGGATGCTTACCTTCCCACTGGCTCTTTAGGATCTTTTTCAGGTAGAATTTTAGTTTAAGCAAATTGCTTTCAGTGAAGAGAGGGACTGGTGGGACCTCCGTCAGTAGAGCCACCATCTCTAGCCTCTCGGCTTTTGTCCGTTTCTTTGCTGGTACCCAGAGCATCCTTCAGGATTCCTTGGGACATATAAAAACGTTCTGCACATCTGTTAGGCTAAACCAACGTTTATTTCACCCAGTGGTTCCTGGGGATGCCCAGCCTGGGGTGCCCAGTTCTTACACGGCCAGACCTTACAATGAGAACTTATTGGGCCATCATCCACTGACCCGGTATTTGTGGGACTTCATTTTTTAAATAGAAAAATTTCAAGGTGGAATTCTTCCAGGCCATGTTGTAGGGGTGAAACTTGGTAGGGATGAGAGTTGGGGGGGTCTGATGGGGAAGACTATACTCACTGGAGTTCCACCTTTCCAGAGCCCCCAGAAGCTGAAGGGGAAAATAAGATGACGTTCTTTTCCCACTGGGTTAACCCTGAAGTTAACTGTGAACAGCTGGAGGAACCCATTGTCCTGTGTAAGTCTGAAACAGAGGCCAAACCCAAGACTGCAGAGCCCCAAAAGAACCCGACTCCTGTCAGAGACCACACGGGAGCCAGCATGAAGTCAACTACAGAAGACCGGAAGGCCAAGCCTCTCTGTGCCAAGAATTAGCATTTGACTTGTGTTGATTCCTACAGTGCCTACCCAGTCCCAGCAACACCCACTTTGGCCCAACCAACCCTGGGCCTCATGGCTACTCCCACGACTGCCTCGAAAATTGTCCACAGCTGATTTGTATCACCTAGCTAGGAAATCAGTAGCAGCTACTCACCTCAGCAGAAGGCACTGGTTAGCACAGAGAGGACCAACCATTTCAAGCCGAAAGAGTTTGTAGGTTCCCAAAGCTCTGCACCTTCCTTAACAAAGGCTGTCAACTGTCCACTGCCATCTAAGTGAGGCATGGTATTCTCCAAATATACTCTGCCTATAAAAAAAAAAAACCTGGAATTTTTCTTTGTTTTCATTGCTGTGTGTGTGATAAAGCAGATAACATTCTCCCTGTGGTATAGGTGCTTAAGTCTGCCTTTTGTGTTGACTCCTAGGGGTAGAGGGACTTGTGTTGAGAAGGGAGGGGCCCTTGTATAAGATACACTAAAAGTATAGCCAGGCTTGAATTCCCATAAGAAACGTGCAACCTGCCTTTCCCTGAAAAAGTGTTCGGTCTGTCTCTGTGTTGATGGCTGCCTTTTACAATTTACTTGTTCTGTCGGCTCCACCCAAATGAACACTTCATGTAATTTAAAAACTCAATAAAGTCATTTGGAAGTTAGAAGGAAAGAAAAGAAGTATATTGGGAGGAAAGAAGAGAAAAGAAAAATCCTGACGATAACGGTGAGTGAGTCCAAGGCTTTAGGAAGCAGCAGCCATTGAGGCAGGAGGGAAACCAGGAGAGAAGAGACCTGGAAGCTGGGGGGGGGGGGGGCACTGGAGAACAGCCAATCTAGCGGGTGACATGAGGACTTGGCGCTGCCTGTCACCTTGAGAAATATAGAGATCCTTCATGGTTTCGAGACCTTGAGTCTCAAGGAACAGGTAAGACGTGGCCGCGGACTGACAGGAAAGCAATTGGCGACAACATATAGAATTAACTCTTTTGAGGGCTTTTGTTTCATCAAAGTACAATGGAAGGGGTGTGGGGCCCACAAAGCCTGCTTTATTTTGTCTTGTAGGGTTACTGAGCGCAGAGCAAGGGGCAGTGAGGGAGGGGCCGACTGCCCTACAAGGTTGGTCTTTGTGTGTCTTTGAAGACAGAAAATAGTTCTGCCGGGCAGTGGTGCACCCCTTTATTCCTGGCACTTGGGAGGCAGAGGTAGGCAAATCTTTGAGTGTGAGGTCAATCTGGCCTACAGAGCGAGCTCCAGGACAACTGAGGTGATACAGAGAAACCCTGTCCTAAAAAGCCAGAAAACAGCCGGGCGGTGGTGGCGCACGCCTTTAATCCCAGCACTCGGAGGCAGAGGCAGGCAGATCTCTGGGAATTCGAGGCCAGCCTGGTCTACAAGAGCTAGTTCCAGGACAGGCACCAAAGCTACAGAGAAACCCTGTCTCGAAAAACCAAAAAAAAAAAAAAAAAAAAAAGCCAGAAAACAAAACCAAACAAGACCAAACAGTTCATTGGCAGGCGATGGCAATGATAGTCCAGAGAGACGAACTGATGATTTGAGATGTATGCTCACTTGAATATGGAGAAACTTTCTTTTGCTAAACTTCATCCCTAACACCACCAGCAAAATGCGGTTTTAGCTACTTTTCATTGTGGGTGCTTATTCTCGCTCCTTCTAGAAGTTCTTCACTTGCTTCTCAAATCCTCAGTTTGTCTCTCTTGACTGTCATTGTCATCATCTGCCAGTGAACTGTTTGTTGAGCCTGGGCTTTCAAGGGGAGGAGCAAGCTGGGGATCAGGGTTGGAGAGCCCCCCCCCCCCCCCCCCCCCCCCCCCCGCCCCGCAAGGAGTTGGTTTGTGGAGGTTACCATGGAAGTGTCTGTCTGTCAGGCAGTGAGACTCCAGCTGGGGAGGAATGGGGAGGAAAGATGCGTGGAGTTGCTGCTCACAGGTGTGAAGCAGGAGCTCTTGAAACTGGGAGCAGCGAGAAAGGTCTCCGAGAAAGCTCTGAATCCTCGGAGCTGAATCCAGAAAGAGCAGGGACTGGAGACAGAAACAAGGTGGGTGGGGGTGGGGATCCTACACTCAGCATGGATGAGCAAGGATTTGGAAGTGGACCAGGAAATGAAAACTGGGAAGCAGAAAGGAAAAGAGGCAGCATGTTGCTGCATCCTGCTAGCCTATCTCAGAGGAGAGCTGAAGCAAGCACAGGAAGCCCTGGGCTTCCTTGTGATGGGGTGTGAGGCAGGGGTGGGATACCTTTGGTTCATAAGGACATTCAGGATCTGTCACCATCCCATCAAGTCAAGAGGAAGCGGTAATGGAGCTTCTTCCTCTCACAGGACCGCGGTGTTTAGTACGATGTGTTCACTGCTAGCAGAATGCGGAAAAGCCGGATGGGAAAAAGTATGGGTGTGTGTGTCATTCATTCCTCCTCTCAGTGGTGATTCTGTGCCTAAAGGAAGGAAGATCAGCCCTTAGCTGATCCTCTAAGCGGAGAAACACAAAGCTCAGGCTTGCTGAGCCAACACTCTACAGGTGTTTTCCTGAGGCATCCACAAAGATCAAGGGGCCTTCCAACAGGCATCCTCTCTGCCTGCTGGGAGCTAGGCAGAAATTCACAGAGTAAGGATGGGAGAAGGGGGTGGGGGTTCTAGAGGGAGCCTGTCTGAAGGGAGCTGACTGGCTCAGGTAGGCACCTGAGTTAAAATGTGTATTTCCTAGGTTACGATGGAGTGGGTTCTTCCCATGCCCTCTTCCATGTTGTTAACTGGCTCCTGATTCATGACAAAATCAGGCAATTGATCCCCTACAGTGCTTTTATTTTCTTTTATTTTTTATAGAATATATTTTGATCATACTCTTTCCCCTCCTCCAACTTCTTCCAGATCCTTCCACCCACATATTGCTACCCATAAATTATGATACTCATAAATCAGGGCACCCACCGCTCAAGCCCCTGCAGTAGATGGTACTTAACAAAGAGATCCCCAACTGCTTGCTGTGGAGAGAGTAAGAGACTCTGGAGCGCTCATCCTTCAGTGGGATGTTTTTATTAAAAACCCTTCACTCAAGACTCAGGCATCTATGTGGGAGAGGAAGTAGAAAGATTGTAAGAGGCAGGAGTTGTGGATGGCTTTGAGGAAACAGTGTCTTCCCCAGAAATACTTAACCTTTTCACTGCCACCCCCCACCACTCCATCCTGGAAAGAGGAGGTCATAAGACACGCAGAGCACAGGGCAGAATGCGTGATGTTTCATTTCCTGACTTTGCTTAGTCTTATCATGACAGTCTCTTGTCAGTAAGCCGCTGGGACATCCTGAGCAGGGACAGAAGTGCCCTGCCCTAGTCAGCATCTCAGCTTGTGGGACATCTCTGACTCTAGGGCACTAGTTCACGTATGCCCTTAAAATCTCCATATGCTTTGTGTAGAACAGCTGGCTCCCACGGTCTCCCAGCCTCTGAATTTACCTTTCTATGGCCTCACCCTTTAACGTACCTCTTCGTTGTCATCTTAGCTTGCCTGTTCAAGTTGAGTCCCAGGAAAGGTGTTCATGGACGATGATAGTTCACAAAAATATTCATATTATGATGCTGTAACCTTTTTTTTTTTAAAGCAGTTTAAGATTTTTAGGCAAACTGATGGGAAAATAGGAAGTTCCCATGAACCCTTTCCTGCCCCTGGAAATTTCCTTTATTATTACATCTTGTGTTAGTGTGGTATCTTTCTTTCTTACAGTTGAGGAGTCAATATTGATGAATTACTAATGTTCATCTTGTACACTACAATGCATTTTTTTTTTAAGCTCACTGACTATTGGTTTAAACACCTTTACAAAGACAGTGATTGTTTCAGCAAACTAGAGAGCGAATGGCACCAAATAGACCAAAGGTGAAGGGAGAAGAGAGCAGGGATCCACTTGGGAAATCTGGAGACAGTTACCTTGGAACTGGCAGAGGAGAAGGGAGCTGCTTGCCTGCGTGAAGATTTAAGCAGTTAAAATGGCGAAGGGAGAACTCCAGAGATCTCGGAATGGTTGGCGAGGGGGACGCCAGCAAGCTTTCCTTTGCAGAGGACTGGGAGGAGCCCTGGTTGGCTCTGGAGACTCAGGGCCACATGTGAGCCGGGGAGGGATCCCCACTATCAAACAATAGTCACCGCTGAAGACACACACAGCAATGTCTTCATACGTTCTCTGGAGAAGTCGTCACGTGTTTTTAACATCAGACTAAGGACCACACAGGCCTTGTTGAAGCCCCTTTTATCTAACTTTTGCCCAGGACTTCATCATGTTGGCAAGGCTCCTTCGTGACTTTTCTGCTGCAGGCTTGGCTATGAAGAAGTCTTGGTGTCACTTTGACGTTTTTCATTCTTGACTTGTTTTAAGAAAAAGACTTGGGCTGGACGGTGGTGGTGCAGGCCTTTAATCCCAGCACTTGGGAGACAGAGACAGGAAGATCTCTGTGAGTTCAAGGCCAACCTGGTCTACAGAGTGAGTTCTAGGACAGACTCCAAAGCTACAGAGAAACCCTGTCTTGAAAAACCCAAAAAAAAAAAAAAATCTTGGTACATAGGCTGGTCTCTAACTCATGGTGGCCCTGCTAATCCTCTCCCTGCTGGGGCCACAAGTGTACCCCACTGTGCCTGACTTTGATGCTGTCATCCTGATCAGGCTGAGTGGCAGCTGTGGCTTTTGTATTAATATTGCCTACCTTGGGTCACTCCCACTGAACAGAGGTTTTGATTTGTGTTATACATGCTATGGTTTCCTTCCCTCTTTCAGTTTTCTCTTTCTCTCTCTCTCTCTCTCTCTCTCTCTTTCCTTTTTTCTTTCTCTTTTTAATCTCTAAGTTTTTAATTATAATTTTTCTTCATTCTTGAGAATGTCACACAATGAAATATGAACTATCATATTTACCCTTGTATTAGAGTTTCTATTGCTGTGCAGAGACACCATGACCACAGCAAATCTTATAAAGGAAAACATTTAACTAACTGGATGACTT